TCATGCCCGTGTAGCAATTCCCTTTCCTTGTGCATTAAATATAAAACTTGGACAAGAGTGTTGTCGCCTACAAGGACCTCGCAGCTGTCAGAGTCTGGTGTGAGTGCAACACGAAAAATGCCAGGCATCAAGTATGATTGATGCAAGGAAACTGCCATGCTCGAGTACCGGGTTGTAATCTGCTGTCTGAAGTATTGTTGGTTACGCGTCGGCTGCAAAGAACCAGACTTTGTGCCGCCAACCGGGGTCAATGGGCGGGCAGTATTGATTGATGATAAAATGACCGAGACCGAATCCTACTGCCACCGGAGTCCGATGCTTCTGTTCACGCCCGACGGTTCATTCTACCATCTCAAGTACCAGCCTTCATCGTCCATCACCTTGATGTACCAGACAGTACCTGGAATTGCGTCATCTGGATCAATGGCTGTGCTAGCACTGAGGGCAATACTTCTTTGACAGGTGGAGCGGGTGCAACCAACACTCAAATCAACCAGCCTTCAAATCAGTCAAGGTCTGCTACAATGGCTGCAGTAGCCCCCAACGACCAGGCGTCTCTCCAGGCGGCGACGATTGATAGATTTGTCGAGGGGTGGAAAATCAACTCTGGTGAAGCCTGGACGGAACTGTGGGCGGACGGATGCACAAACACAATTCTACCATTTTCGCTCAATTGCGCGCCCATGTCCAAAGCCCATGTCCTTCGATCCAAACACTTTGGCAATGTTTCAAATTGGAAGGTAAGCGCAGCGGCTGGCCTGAAAATAAGTGCAAATAGAAGGACTCAAAACTCGAGCAGTTGGAGGTGTACGAAGTCCTACACGACACGGCCAAGGGAAAATCTGCCGTCTACGCAACATCGAGTGCAGATACGCGTTTTGGCAACTTCAAATGGTCGCAAGAGTATGCGGCCTTTATCACATTGACCGAGGACAGGATGAAGATTGGGCACATTACGGAAATGGTGGACACGGCATTTTTTGCCGAGATGGGAAGACAGAGTGCAAAGTTCGCCGCCGCAGAATCCAAATAAATAAAGACCTTGTTTTTTATTCATGCGAAATTCATTGACCTGGCTGCTTGTGCATGTGTTTGTGTGGTTGCAGTCGGATTGCGCCACCAGTCCTAGGCCTGCCTTCATACTCTCGTCTCGTCTGCCCAACGGTGAAGAGAGGAGTCAATCAGCAACCATGAAGCGCCAGCATGGTGATTACCAAGGCCATTGCAGAAATGGAAGCAGTCACGTGCCCAAGAACTCGAAGCTGCCATGTACCTGCTTCTTTGATGCTCGCCCCGTCCCGCACATCGTCCTCGTCGTCGTCGTCCACCAACATCAGACCCTCCGGGGGCCACCATCTTTACGCTGGGACATTGGACACCAACCAGACCGCCATTGGCCAGAAAATAGCATGTCGACCTCGTCGGCCAACCTTGCGGGCGGACGTCCTGCCTTGGCCTCGGCATCGTATTTCCCTCAGGCGGAGAAGATTATGCTGCAACCGCGGCGACAGCCAGCTTGCGTGCGTTGCCAGCAGCGCAAGGTCAAGTGTGATCACAAAGATCCGTGTGCAACATGTGTCAAGGCGGGTGTGCCATGTGTCGCATCAAGCCAGGTGCGGCGCCGTCGAAAAAGGCGACTGCCAGAGAGGGACCTCCTCGACCGGATTCGCAAATACGAGCATTTGCTCACCCAGCACAACATCAAGTTTGAACCACTTCACCCATCTGTCTCAGTACCCAAGGGGTCTCCCGACTCGCATGTTGAGGGGCCATGCGAATCAGATGATGAGCCCGGAACCACGACTGCCTCATCTCACGCAGGTACCAGCTCTCCAAGGCGGAGGGTGCGCGAGGCCAAGTATACGCCCCCTCGTGCGCTGACCTCTGGTCAAACCAAACCATGCGCCTGTCATTGGAGTATTCACTAATTGGATTGGCTCCAGGCGGATGTTGCATACAATGAACCAAGAGGTAAGCTCATCCCGCTTCGCCTTCATATTCTGTTGATTGACAGTTGCATACAGTTCCGTCATGGCACCGATGGCGACTCGTCAGACGATGAAGTGCGGGGGGTTGTCTTCAAGAGGGCATGGGATCAGGAAATCGCGGATGATGCACACCTCCTCTTTGGATTTGGTTGGCACCAGACGACGGTAGACATACACACCTTGCATCCTCAGCCATTCCAGATATTCCAACTATGGCAAGTCTATCTCGACAACGTTGATCCGCTTCTGAAGATGACGCACACTCACAGTCTTCAAAAGCGCTTGATCGTGGCCGCACCCCATCTCATGACCATCACGCCAGAGCTGGAGGCGCTCATGTTTGGGATTTACTGCATGGCTATTTCAAGCCTGACTGAGAATGGGTGTCGAGCAATGTTTGCCGCGTCCAAGGTTGATCTACTGTCTAGGTTCCAGCTTGGTTGCCAGCAGGCTCTTTTGAACAGTCGCTTCATGCGGAGCACGAATCAAGACTGCTTGACGGCACTGTGCCTTTACCTTGTTCGTACATGTACTGCTTACAGTTCCCTTGTTTGTGTTTCTAACATGCCCATGTAGATATCGGTTCGACCCACCACTGCTCCGCAGTCTCTATCCTCTATCCTTGGTACTGCTATTCGTATCGCGCAACGCATGGGCCTCCACAGTGAAGCTACCTTGGCCAAGGCATCTCCGCTCGAGGCTGAGATGGGCCGGAGGCTCTGGTGGTCGCTGATACTTTTTGACACTCGAATTGGAGAAATGGCCGACTTGCATGCTACTGCGTTACTTCCAACCTGGGACTGCCGAGTGCCACTTACCATCAACGACTCCGATATTAGAGAAGAGATGAAGGAGGCCCCCCAGGTCCAAGGAAAGTTGACCGATGTTATTTTCGCCGTTTGTCGCAGCGAACTTGCGGATTTTGTTCGCTATACCAAGTTTCACCTAGGGTTTTTCGGCCCTGGTCTTCGTGCCTCAGCGACGACGGGTCAGGAGGGCCCCGAGGGTTCTGAAATCGACGCTTTTGATACCATGATGGAAGAAAAATACTTGAGGTATTGCGACCCGGAAAACGCGATCCATTTCATGACTATATGGACAACAAGAGGAAACATTGCCAAGTACCGCTTGGTAGAACACCACTTCAGATACTCGGGCTCTTCGCTGCATCACGCCGAGACGCAGCGAGACGCCGCCCTCTCGTACGCGCTTAGAATGCTCGAATGCAATACAAAGCTCATGACTTCACCACTCACCAAAGGCTTCATCTGGATGGTCCATTGTTATTTCCCCTTTATTGCGTACATCCAGATCATCCAACACCTCAAGTGGCGGCCCATGAGTGCTCAGGCTACGGATGCATGGAAAATCATGAATGACAACTACCACGCGCTCCTCGAGGTTCTGTCTGTGACAGACAGCTTCTTCAGGCTTTTAACCAACATGATTTTACAGGCTTGGGAAGCCCGGGAAAGTGCGTACGAGCAATCAGGGTACCCGCTGGAGACGCCGCCACTCGTGTCATCTATTCGACAAGGCCGAGAAATTCTGATTCCCGAGGAATGCTGTAATGGCATCAGGCAATCTGGCTCTGCTCCAGAAATTGGCTCCTGTGACGTGCCTGCCTATTATGACATTGACATGGATCACTTGGACTGGTCTGCGATGGACTGGGATCTGGGTTATAAAGAGGCGAAGGCTCCAGAGCACGAGGAGCAACAGCTCACAAACGCCTTGTAGTGACGGGTGCGGGAGACTGATGAATCCTACAGACAATGTCATAGTAAGGGTATATAAATTAGAGAAATACTCATCTCAATCTAGATAGCAGGGCAAACACAAAGAGCCGGTCGCACTCTGAGAAAGGGAATATGGGGCAAGATGGGGGCGCCTTTCGTGCCAACATTGAAACAACATTGAAGTCTAGAGTGCAATTGCGGCGTTGATGAAGAAAGGAAAGCCTGCACTTTCTGGTGCCCTGGAGGGCCTTGGCCTGCTAGCGCTGTTCTCTATTATGGACTGACATGAATTGATCAATATATCGAGTATGTAAGTATGTAGGCCTGGGGCCGAAATCTGCAGTTGACATTGTATGTCCATCTTGATACAATCAATCCATTTCAATCAAATGTCAATTGGCAGGAACGTTAGCGGCCGCGGCACCCCCCACATGTCGCAAGGATTAAAGCGCCACACACTCTGATGCCGCCTGGCGAACCAGTATCGGACGACCCATGCAACCCACCAAGGTGCTGGCGGGAACTTGTGCCTCCCTCCTTCAAACCCACGATCCATGCATCCAAACGCCAAGGGCAACATTTCATCGTAGCTCCCCACATCAGCAATGTGCTTCTCGGCCTGCACCCACATGCGCCTGAGCTCGTCGCTCGGGTACACCTTGAGAGCGAGAATGGTGGGAATCTCATCGCGCAGGTGCTCGTACAATGACGGTGCAAAGGCGTCGATCAGACCCTTGAACGTCGTGTGCGAGTACTCGTCCGGGCTCGTAGATTTGCAGTATTCTCCTAGGCGCGACAGCCCTGCGTGGAATGCAGCGTGCTGGGCCTGGTTCGCGGACATGATGTCTTGGTTCTTGGTATAGGCTGCCAGTGCTGGGAACAAGTATTCCTCTTCCCCAAAGTGGTGAGCGTCAATGGTAATCACGACTGTTTTGGTGTAGGCCAGCAAGTCGGCAATATCTCCCGGTTTAACAACATGTGGTGATTGTAGGATGATGCTGTTGAGGGCGCGGAGGAACATGTTGTGGACATGGACCATGTCGGTGGCCATGTGGACGGCATAGTGGGACATCTAGGCGTTGGCAAAATTTGGTCAATTTACAGTCTTTGTTCTTTTTGTATTCACGTCTGAGAAGATTGGGAGCAAGGGGGTGTCTACGGTGTCTTTTTGCGGCGAGTCGAGAAGTGGCCACGGCGTATTTGCCCATCGAGTAGGTAGCGTGCTTGTTGTGCTCATATTTGGTCAAGGTTTACGGTATAGTAGCAAGACGACGCAAAAGATGAAATAAAAATATTGATTCAAGATGGTGCGTGATGCCAACTCCTGCAACAAGGCCAAGGCTACCTTCATCGTTTCTTACATCATGTCAGTCCTGGCCAACACGGAAAGTTCGGAAGTCGGGCGTTTCGGTTCACTACAACTGTCTGGTGTGATGTCAATGCCGTGGTCGGACATTTTCTTCTTCGAGTCGGAGCCCGCATGAGGGTGGAAATTCGTGGGGCTTGCCTCCCGTGCTGGAGCTGGAGGGATATGGTGGTTAGCAGTGTTAACGATGTTGACGTGGATTGCAAGTTCAAGAGAATTGCAGTGACATGAGATGACTGAACGTCTTGTCCTTTTCCGGATTTTGTCTAGGTAGGAAAGCTGACGGGCTTCATAGAACCAGGCGAGGAGGGGATTGTATCCTAACCTGGTCTTTACTTGGGTGAGGGTGAGGGCGCAATTGCGTTTGTTCTTTTGAAGAGGGCTATGTTCTTGACTACCGTCATCGAAGCTATTAAGGGGAGCGAGATGAGTTGTAATGTTAAAACTAATAAATCGGACTCAATTCATCCTATCCGCCCACTCACGATACACGCAGCATCTTGCTCGTTACTATTGTCCGCGGCCCATCCTACCCCTAGCTCCTTTATCTGCCTGAAAAGCTGGATTACGTAGCCTTGCTGTCAAAAGGCCAACCCCCTAGTTTCATAGTGAATAGATCGCTTTCGGCAATCTCCTTTGCCCTCTCCTTTAGCTCTATAACGTCCCAATTGGCCCAGATATACTTGCCCTTGAGAAAATCGGCTTCTGGGCTGGCAAGCCAGACCATGGTACCGACAGAGAGGGAGACTAGGTCTGATTGTCAAAATTCTGCACCTTAGGGGGGAGGGATTGTCGTTCGAAATCACGAGTTGAGGGGTGTGTCAAAAACTCACCATCATCTGCTAAGCCGGCTTGCTTTGCACCACTGACTTTGCCTCCGACGTTTACAACTCCTGGGTGTAGACAAATCACTCTAAGCTCGGGATGCTCGGCTTGGAGCGTGCTGAAGACCCTCACAGCGCCAGCTTTGCTCGAGCTATAGGCAGAATTGTTGGGAAAGCCCGTGAAATGGGACAGCGCCGTCGTCACGTAGAGCACCACAGCCTTGTCCGACTTGTACCTTAGGAAGGCTTGTGACGCAAGAAACGAGCCCTTGATGTTGACTTGGAAGCAGCGCCACCACTCTTGCACGTCGAGGTCCTTGATGGCGCTCGATGTTGGCGGAGCGGTAGGCTTGTAACCAGCATTGTTGATCAAGACGTGCATCTTGCCGACACGGTCGTGAATCGCCTTGAATGCGGCGCCCATTTGGTCCTTGTCTGTGACGTCAGAGACGTAGGTGTGGACATTAGCACCAGGAACCAGTGATTCGATATTGCTCCTGGTCGATTCGAGCATGTTGCCTCTACGACCAATGATGCTAATACTGGCGGCTCCGGCCTGGGCAAATCCCAGGGCGGTTGCTGCGCCGATACCAGAGCCGCCACCAGTGATGACAATGTTCTTCCCAGCTGCAGACAGAGCTGGTAGACAAGGATCAATAGCGTCGTATTGTGACTTGCGATATTCCTTGGTGAAGCAAGGAAACATCTTGGGCTTGATAGCCGCCGATTGTGATCTGGCAGGTACATTTTCCCAAGCCTCGGGGAATCCAGCTCCAAAAACCCACTTGTCAGGGTCAGGAACGCCGAGAGTAGAGTCGTAGGCCATGCGAGCGAGCTGAATCCATGCTTGTCCCGTCATAGGGAACACAGCCGGATCCTGCTGCTCGAATATCTGACACACTTCGCCTGCGCTCTTGGCCGCGCGCGCAAACTTAGCAACGTGTCCGTCGTCCTTCATCTGGCAAATATCATGGTATAGTTCGGTCCATCCCTTGCCAGCGCTTGTACCGGGTGTGTAGTTGAAGATTTCGGCAATGTTATATTGTGGGCAGCCGCAGGCAGCATACCAGAAGAGATCTGTTCGGCCTTTCCACTCTACTAGCCTCACCTTGTTTTCTAAGCTGATTGAGGGTTCGTTAACCAGGACAGTCAGGAAGACTGAACTGGTCACGTTGTTCATGTGGAAAAAGTCAATTTTTGGCGTCTTCCCGGCTCGCTGTGCCGCGCCCGCGATATAAGCGCTGCAGTTGATTACTTCGGCGGCTCTTAATTGTAGCTCGTATGGCTTGACGCGGTACTGGGCAGCTAGACGGATAATTTCCGCCTTTGATCGTCCGAGAGTGCCGTCTCTCATTTTAAAAGGACCATCTTGCCAGCGAGGGCCGTTCAGAATAGCTTCATTTACGCTGGCTTCCTTGTACAGGTCCAGGAGAGGCTTGTGTGGAGCGTTGGGATCAAGATCTCCAGCTTCTGTATCAGTCTGCAAAAGACAGCCTGGAATACCGGAGAATGGATGACACACGGCCTGAGCGAGGGCTTCAGCCGTGATGCTAGGCAGCTCAAACTCGACTGCAAGGCCCAGATGAATAAATGGGTGATAGGCTCCTTCGTACATCCGAGGGAGAATCGTGTCGGCAACAGAGGTACGAGTGAAGCAGTACTTATGAAGAACGGCTCTCCATCCGTACAGGCCAATTTGCTGCTCAAAAAACTCAACCGCATTACTGTACTGCGTGAAGTCACCCATAATTTTCATTAGCTTTCTATCGTCAGATAGACCTCTGACCACGTCCGAGTTAACGTCGGGGCGAGCGCGCTGGACACCGACACCGTCGTCGTTGGCACGCTGCAACTCAGCAGGGTTCGCCCCGATTGCTAAGTGAGTCAGGATGGAATGGGCCATGTGGTTGTGTCCATTGAGGTCTCTCCGGAATATGTGATAGTCGTCGTGGTTCTTTTGCAGCAGCTTATTTGCCATTTCGATTGACTCAGGAGCAGGGTCATTAACACGTCCGTAGCTGCTACCATGATGCTTGGACAGGGACAACTGGACTGTCTTGTCCTTGGGAGTGGTCAGAAAGGGTGTCTCAACACCAACCTCCTTACTTATAGTCGTATTGGTTTGTGTGGACATGGTGTAGTAATCTGACAGTGTCTGCGAAATTTGGTAGTTTGGAGTCGTGGCTCGAAGACATGGCCAGAGATATCTTGCAGTGACATATAATAGGAATCCCTCCATCTTTTGCGCCAGAGCTCTTGAGCACAAACTACGGGTTTGTACCCCTTGATCGGATGTGCCACTTGTGAGGGACCACTCGAGCCGGGTATTAAGATCGTATGTTATGCCTCGAGTCAAACCACACACAATATACCCGACCCCAGTGTTGGTAATGTCCAACTTCACACTTGGTACTGTAACCAAAAATGCAATTCGGGAAATTAATTGTTCAATAATTCAATTGAACGTATTGCTGTCGGCGTGTGCGTTTGTTTCCGATCGTTGATGCTACTCTACCGGAGTCCGAGTTTGAGTCGACTTCCGAATGGCTCAGTCGTCCCTTCAGCTACTACTCAAAACAGCACCACTGTGTCGAGAACAATCCAAATTAAAGAATTGGCTTATAAATAAGGACATCCAGAAGTAAGATGTTACTCTTCAAAACCATCCAACCAAGAAATCAAGTCATCACCAAGTCATCGCCATTTTATACGCAAACCTTGTCCCAAGTTTAAAAACACCCAGAATGCCTGCTCCAGCCGAGGTCCAAGCCGCCACCATCGATAAGTTCATCGAGGGATGGGGCACAAACAACCCCGAAGCGTGGGTTCAACTCTGGACTGATGACTGTACCAATAAGATCCTGCCCTTCTCACTCGGTGCGCCACCTATGAGCAAGGACACCGTTGTTTCAAAGGCTCTTCCCAAGCTTTTCGGAAACCTCGCCAACTGGAAGGTAAGAAGTTTTGTGATTTTAGTCTAGATACCATACAATGAAATAGCAAACGCCTAAACTTATAACTTGAACAGTTGCAAGTATACGAAGTCGTTCTCGATACCAAGAAGAGCAAGGCTGCCATCTACGCAACTTCCAAAGCTGACACCCCCTTCGGCGACTTCAAGTGGGTATGCAAATTCCCTGCACTTAACTCATCTAGTGAATTCTGGAGGAAATGGGACAATGCTGGAATATGTGACTTTGTAGTTCCCCAACCGGGATTGGGCTATAGTGTTCTTTTGGTGGCTTCGCGCCTGCACACATATCCCCAGTCCATTACAAGCATTTTCACCGGTCAGAAGCTGATGATGATGTGAAACCTCACAGGCCAACGAATATGCGGCTTTCGTCACCTTGACTGAAGACGGCAAACAGATTAGAAAGATTGAGGAGATGGTCGATACCGCCTTCTTTGCTGAAATGGATCGACAAGGTGCTGTCTATGCTGCCGCCAACCCTACCACTACTGTTCCTGCCTAGACAAGTACACATCGTTAACAGAGTCATCTAAATGGCGAGTAGACTCTCTTAAACATATTAGACCATTCAATTTAAAGGAATACAGTGGTTTATCCCGCTGTGCCTTGCGAGCCCCTGATTTGTGCATGAATGTGTATATCTCTGTCGGTCCATCATGATCGGAAGGTTCCAGTTTTATCGTATTAATCCGTCATTCTTCTAAGAAACGTCTTCAACTTAAAACCTCTACTCAGGTAGTTGAATAGTTTCTTTTTAATAATCAAGGCACCTATTGTGGACAACTGCCTGCAAAGAACCGGTGACTGGAAACGCTCATGCGGTAGAAGCATACGAGTCGCCATCTTTCTCTTTCGAGACGAACTGGATGTCACAATTCTGAGAAAGGGAAAACCAGCCACCGGCAGCCCATCTGCAGCTCTGCTCATTTCGTCGTGTTGAAGCAGTATTCAACGTCATTGTGACTTTGTCTTCCCTTTTAATTCAAGGGCTACTTCTTGCACCGCCAATCCATGGGTAACGAGCAACATGCATAGGCCCGAATTCCGACCACCGACCCCCGATGAGTCGGCACCCGATGGCGAACAGAAACAAATGGCAATTTTCCGATGCCACACCCTTTATACCTACTACTTCAAGCGGGTAATGCACAATTCCGTTGGGCTGCAAGATCACTATAACGCCTATCTTCAGCATGTACTTGAACGATGACACTTTCGGCTCCTCTGCCACCTCGCTGACGTCTCTGGCAGTTGTTATTTTCATCACATTATCCTTGTATTGCTTCTACGTTCGAGAATTGACATCCCTTCGAAACGTGCCTGGGCCCTTCTTTGCTAGTATGTCACCACTCTGGCTCATCACCAGCCAGCGCACGTTTCAACGACCACATGTAGATTTGGATCTTCATGAGAAGTACGGCCCCATAGTTCGCGTCAGCTCAAATGAGGTGATTGTGTCCAGTACAAAGTCGAGACATGTGATATACGGTAAGACTGCTGCCAAGAAGGAGTTGAGGCAACGACAAACCAACTGAATAAATAGGCGCCACAAGCAAATTTCCAAAGGGAGACTGGTATATCCCCACAGGGAGTGCCGGTTGGAGTGATGGCGATGAGCTAGACTTTCTCTCCGAGTTGGACATGGACAAATATCGACTGCAAAGAAGACTGGTCGGACCGGCTTACACGGATAATTTTATGCGCCAAATAGAGGGTAACCTGGACAAAATCTTGGAGAGAAACATCGAAATCATGATTCAAAGAGCGGGTCGTATCGAAGATGTTGACCATGTTGCCAACTTTCTCGCTTCTGGTATGATTCTCAGCGTCCGTATTATTCGTGGTTTCTTCCACTCATGTGATTTAGACTGTTTGCAAGTCGCTACTTTTGGTGAATCAAAGGGCCTTCTTGAAGCTGGCGTGGATGATGGAGCAATCCAATTGACCATGAACTTGTGGGGTTATATGCACTGGGTTGGGTATGTGCCCGTCTATCACAGAGCAAAGAAGTGGTTCAACATGATTGTGAAGCCAAAGTTGTGTATCATCTTGGCCATACTCCCCGACTTGCCGACTCGAAAGACCACGATGCATTCCAAGCCGGCTAGTCAAATGACGGAGCATGTTTTCGTCGTGAGTATCCCGTCACCATCTTACCTGAATTAACTGACACTTTGGTGGCCACAGTGGGCGAGGAAACGCATCCGAGACCGCTTTGACAGTTTTGCCAGTCAAAAACTTCCCACGCAAGCAACCGACATTGCTACTAGGCTCCTACAGATCCATGCTGAGAAGCCAGCTTTAAAGCCGCATTGGGTTGCCGAGATGCTGGGCACCAACTTTGGTGCTGGCGTTGAAACAACAGCCATTACAATCTCCAGCTTTCTCGATTTTGTGATCTCCCACCCTGGATGCCAGGAAAAAGTCCAAAAGGAGATTGACGAGGCGAGAGAAGCGGGGAAATTGAGCAAATTGCCAAAGCTGAGGGAGATTGAAAGTTTGCCCTACTTGAGCGCCTGCTTGAACGAGAGCAAAAGGTTGCACCCTGTGGTTGGAAGTCCTCTTCAGAGAGTTGTGCCACATGGAGGAATAGAGTTGGAAGGTAAATGGCTACCAGCTGGAGTAAGCTTTTACTGTACCCTTTCCAACCTTGAGATGTACTGACGGATTAATTGCTGTAGACTGCGGTCGGAATCAATCCATGGGTGATGGGACGCAATAAGTCGCTTTTCGGCGCAGATGCTGACGCTTTTCGACCAGAGCGCTGGTTCGAAATGTCTCGTGAACAGTGGAAAGCCTGCGGTGCGTATCTTTGGGTGCCATAGTTTTCTGGGTATATGAATTTGACAATGAAGTAGAAGCAAATAGCATGTTCTTTGGTGCTGGAGTACGCTCTTGCCCTGGAAAACGTAAGACGACTCTATTTAAAGGAAACATATTTCACATGACTAACTAAAATAGATCTGGCCCAAGCAATTTTGAGCAAGGTGCTGCCGCTTTTATTGATGGAACTATGCTGGAGTCATGCACAACCGGGCACAGGAAGACCAATACGATCGGCATTCATGACGAGGCTCCACAAAGTCAAGGTCCAGTGGAAGAAAAGAGAAGTTGTGAGTAGGATGGTTCAAGAGACACCTCGAGGGACGTCGGCGGAAACTTCATCGCTGAACACGATCTCTGCCACTGACAGATCTAGAAGAAATATAAGCCCAATACGGAAGCATCTCACCGGGTCTCTACCAGAAGATACGAACTGTTCATTGCCACAGACGGAGGTCAGCCTCAGAGATGAAGCTGAACCCATTGTTTTTGTCTAGTATGCACTCAGCTATTGGTACTGGAGGCTTCATCTTAAAAGACAAAATCGGAAGGCAGCTAAAGCCTATTCGCTGGAAGGATTCGCCATGGTAACATAATATTGCTTGAAAACCAAATTGTTCCGCAATGTTCTTTGTGGAAGGCCCAAGTCTGGAGGAGTAGGCCATCTATACCATGGAAGCCTACGATATTCGTTTTGAAGTGCCAAATAATCCAACACTAAATTTTACTCAAAACTTTCCATGAATAATATGCGGTAGCATTCTTTTTCAGCATACATTGTTCCTCGATTGTCACTATACATCTGCTGAGAAAAAAGAGATGTCTGATGAGAAGACAAGATCCCTGACTATAAAACGCCGCTTTTGCGTTGGGTAATCACATTATACCCTGTAAAACTACACGAGGGTGTGGATCCAGAAGGTTAGCCACTCCTGTTGGCTGGCGAACAGGGATAGCTCATTTCGTGGGCGCGTTAAGAATATAGAGATAGAGGAGCTTCATTCCCATTGAATAGGATTATTTTTTTCTTATTTATTACTCTCTTGTAAGCCTTAGAGGTCAATAGGATTGCGTACTTGGCGAAATGGTCGGATCCATAATCTTGTTTAGAGCATTAAAATCACACCGTCTACCTCTTCTCACTCACTTGGCCTCTGTACCCTGTGACGCGTACATGTGTTTGCAGCCGTGGAATTTGCCAGACTTGATTACATTCATGGAGAAGCAAACTTGTAGTTGAACTGCTTCTTGGCCCTATCTCCCGCCATTCTTCTGTCGTCATCCTCTGCTTTGAACGCTGGTTCTTCTTCCAACCTCTCCTGAATTCTCCCATTCTGGACTTGACTTGGCTCTGGAATACGAATGCCGATCTGTACGGCCGGCCTGTCTCTAATTTTCCTCCACCATCGTTCAACATTTGGAAATTTTGAGAGAGTGATGCCGGAAAAATATGAAGTGTTCACCCATCCAAAAGATGCAATGTCGGCAATAGAATATCTGCCGCGATCGGGACCTACGAGATAATCACGGCCCTTCAGTTGCGTATCGAGAACTCCGTAAAGGCGCTCCGTCTCTCCGACGTATCTTTGAGTGGGATAAGGTATCCTGTCTTTAATAATTCGGTAAAAGTGATTTGCTTGTCCTTGCATGGGCCCCTAAATTTCCCAGACATATTTTAGATACTTGAAGAGAAAAACAAATGCAGTTGTACATTGCAAATACCCACGATGCCACCATGTTGCCAAGCAACCCACTGTTCTGTACGCGAAATGTCATTGACATCACTGAAGCTGAACTTCTGGTCTGGGTCGTAGTGTCGTATCAGATACATGAGGATTGCGGCCGTCTCAAAAACGGAAAATTGCTCCCTATCGTGATCTATGATTGCTGGGATGCCTATGCAACAATGGTTAGTGGTCGAGGTTCCTTTTCCCTGTTGCTGCGCAAAGAAACACGTACGACCGTTTGGAGAGTGTCTGGTAAACCAAGGCTCCTTTTGAATGTTCTCCATGATGTCAATATTCTGGTAAACGTAGTCCAAGCCATATGCTTCTTTGAGTTCTTCGAGCAGGATGGATATTTTGACACCGTTTGGGGTATTGCATGTTAAGAGTTCGATGCCAGTTTGGCCAATGAGGCCGCACGGCCGATTTGAAGAGGCCATTATTCTTGTTCTAGTTTTCCTTTTTCATTTTTCTTTTTGGCACTTCTTTTTGGCACTGAACTTGGGCTTTCTTTTGCAGCTGTGTTAGGCACAAAATCGACGGGCCTACGGGAGCAAATAAAACTGTGTAACTCGGCCAAGTCTTCAAAATAAATCCAGTTTAATCTTCTTTATTATTTCTAGATGGCGTTCTCCGAAAGCAGCGTCCACTCCCGGAGTGAAGCATCCTGTTTTTTTTCGCGAGTTCCCGAGGCGGTGGGATAGATGGCGAAGCCAGGACCTAGACATCGTTGATGCAAGAAGAGCGGCCCATTGCAGTAACATCCGGCCCTAGCTCGGGACGTTGAATGCTGTCCTTCGGAACGAACGAACCAATTTATGTTCGGGGTTAGTAGCCGCATGCATGCATGCATATTTGCCCATGGTACAGTAACATTCAGTTGGTCGGGCATATCGACACGGACTCCGACTTGACTCGAACGAGACCCAGAGAAAAACCTTGAAGGTGGCTAGTAGATATCGGGCCATAAGGTGAAATTCCCGAGTGCTACGTTAATAGCCGAGCCACGGGCATTTGCAGAAGCTCATTGTGTGGTGTGGACTGTCCATGCGTGTCCATGTGCAGCGGCAGAGGACGGGAAAACTATTCATGCAAATGCTGAATGCTGAATGCTGGAGCCAATTTCACAGTCTCTACATTTCGCCCGGAATCTTCATGTAATCTAACTGCTTGATTCTATAACTATGGGAATATTGTGTTATAATCATGTCGATCGGTAATGCTAAGGTTGCTTATTGGCGTGGCTTCTTAAAAGATGCTTGCAACCTTCGCATAAGTAAAGATGTGGAACTGGGCGAGCAACGTAATGATCTTCCTCTATTTAGCAATTGAAACACTAGAAAAGAAATCGCATAGTTCTACAAAATTCGTCGTCTGTTAACAATCCTTCAATCTGTCTACTACTTGCCCATCTCTAATAAATTCCGTAATCCAGCCACTACTTTAGAGACGCCTTATCCTCCCAAGTCGTCGGAATACGCCGTCACCGTGTACTTCACCTCAGTTTGGCGAGTTAGAAGGTAACAACGGTATCAGCAGGGAAATCAACATAGCCCTGTCCTCTAACAAATGTCTGCAACCAAGGCCGCTGTTTCCTGTCTTCAGAGAGCTGCCCATATAGCTCGGCATGAGCCGTGCCACTAATATCCTTACCACAGAGTTTGCCAGATGTTCGCCGTTCGTCTGCATAGTAGAACCTGCCGAATATCAATATTAAGTCGGTACTGTTCCTACCTGGCAAAACCTACTTGTAACCCTTGTCTGCAAATGCTGCAGCTGCAGATGCAATCATGTGCGCAGTGGCACTCTTGCCAACACCCAAAGTTAGGAGTCCATCGAATGATGCAAAGTTCATAGCGTTTCCACTATGTTTTGAACAGTCAGTTCCTATAAGAGCTAGGCTTGTACTAAAACTATTGGAAACTGCTAGACATAGCTTTGCCACTTACGTGTAGATAAAAGTGCGAGAAGTGCTAGTAGGTAAGGCTGAAAAAGACGCCAGGGCTTCTTTAATCGCAACAAATACACTCGTGGTATTTATGTTAAGATCCGATTCGAATGTGCCAAGGTCAAGATTAAAAGTATTCTCCTTGGGCGCGAATGAGACCGCACCAGCTGTAATCTAGTAAGAATCCTTGATACGCTCTGAATAGGGCATTTCAGACGTACCGTTATAAACAACAACGCTTGGCTCTCCGTGGAGTTTCCGAACTTGGGTAAAAATATCAACAACTGACTTGGGTTGAGAAAGGTCGCCTTTGATGTGGAAAAACAACGGGCTAGCATTCTCAGGGACCTTTCTTGACGTGAGAACAACTTTGTAGCCTTTAGAAGCAAATTCCCTGGCGACACTAGCTCCAATATTAGGTCCTGCTCCAAGAATTAGCGCGATTAGTACGTTGGAAGACATGGCTTGAGTCAATTAATCTATTAATGCAAAGCTGATTGTTTAGTTTGTAAAGATTGAGCAGGGAGTTAAAAATTGCTAATATTACCAATATTTACAAAGGTTTTAAAGACTAGCGGTTCTCACCTACGTTTAAATAGCTTATTTGTATCTAAAAGATTTTTCTGGGATAAATGTGAGCTACTATCTGGTCGTATTGTGAAAAAATCCGTGCTCCGAGAGGCATCGGACTCCGGCTAAGATGTTAGCCCGTCGCAAATATCCGGATTCCGGTTATCAGCCAACTCGGGGAGTGACCGTTTACCTAATAACAGGGTAAATCCGCCGCGAATTTTGTTTTCTACATTTTCGGCGTTTGCATCGGTCAATTCTTACCTACATCCCCAGATCGCAGTGTGAAACGGCGCCACTAATTATCTCGGAACGCCTCTAGGTAACACGCTACACGCATTTATTTATTTCTTATTATTATTTCTCACAAAAAATCGGCTATATTTTAAGTGCCTAATGTCTATTCTCTCTTGTCTAAGCTCGCTAAGAAAACAAAGCTCGAGTCCTGTGAAGAAAAGTATTACCTTCGCTTCTACTATCCCCTAAGGTTCTGCGTATCTTTAATATCTTTACCTATATCACTGCAGCACTATCAAGGCTACTAGCCTCACCTTGTCTTCGCCAAACGCTTGAGAGAGACTAGAGAGACCTAGCCAACACAAGGTCGTCATAATGGGCAGAAAAGTGACTTATCAAGTCCAACCACTATGGTTTAATGGCTTCAAAGAAGAGTCCTTTCGCCTTTCCATCTTGGACATGATTACTCCTCCAAACTACAACACTTACGCCATAGTTTTCAAGTCAGATAATGCAGATGAAAAGACTGTTGCTGAATGGTTCAAACAGGCGATTAACGCAACGCTTCTGCAATGCCGCCATTTAGTTGGCACAGTCGAGAAGAACCAGCATGGGGACTACTCGATTGTCACGAAGCCCGATAGTACCGTTGAGCTTGTATTTCACTGGCTTAATGGCCCTGATGATGACTATCCATCGTACTCAGAGCTTGAAAGACAAAACTTCTCAAGCAGGTGTCTTGGAAGTGCCGCAACTTTAGGAATCGACGGCATGCCTACGGCTCGCGGTCCAGATGACAGCCCAGTCATGGTTGGATTTCAACTGAACTTCATACGTGGTGGTTTTATTCTTACTATCCAGATACACCACTTTGCAGTTGACATGACAGGCACGACAAGTTTAGTTCGCCAAATTGCTGATAATTGCTATTCGATTCGATATGGAACACCTCCACCTAGTTGGGATAAAGCCTTTATGGACAGGTCTCGCTTTATTGCACCCAAAATTGCGTTTGAGGATCAGATTGACCCAATGCCACGGCCTCCTAAGCACCCGGACTGGCTTCCATGTTCTTGGCTGCTGTTCCATCTTCCACCTACCAAGGCTGCTGCGCTGAAAAGGCTAGCATCGCCTAAAGACGGGACGCGGATCTCAACATATGATGCATTGACGGCTGCGCTGTGGAGAGTTATAGCAAGAAACAGGGCTCAAGTGTACAAACCTGTCCTGGAGGAGCCTGCAATTTTTGGCGAGCCTATCAATATGCGTAGCCGTTGTGAGTTACACCTAGTTCTTGAAGCGCTGGGGTTATAAGCTGGATAGAAGGCTGTTAACAGAATGATCTCAGGTACGCCGCAAATTTCGCCAAGATACCAAGGAAATGTACTGGCAGCAGGGCTTTCACGTTATCAGAAATCTCCTCTCACTTTAGCCGATGTCATTTCAGATAGCTCTCTCCCGCAACTCGCGGGTTATATTAGAGCCATAACTAACAGTGTGAGTCAACAAACGCTTGATAATACAGTGGCAAGGTTTGCCGGGGTTCGAAACAAGTCAAACCTTGATGTGCCACTAGATTCCCTGCCTCCAATGTCATTCACGACTACCGACTGGAGAAATTCCAGGCTATGTGATAATGACTTTGGCATTGGCCAACCCATGGCGTACAGGAATCTTACCGACACCGTAGTAGAAAACATGATGGTTATATACCCACCGCATAAAGGGAATAGTAGCAAGGATCAAGGCGTGGAGGTTTTGCTTCCTTTCGAGACACAATTTCTTGATTTACTAATAAACGATGCGATAATAAAGGAGTACTTTGAATTTAGAGATATAGAGGTCAAGAATTTATAAATTAAATGATATTATGATTCTAAGTATATAAATGAAGTTATTATTTTCCACGGTTATTTTGAAAGGTAAATTAAACTAGTAATTGACTTAAATAAATACTATTATAGTTACTAAAAAGCCTAATTTATATATTTTTTATTTATCTACTAGTAAAATATTAGATTTTACGCCTATTTAGTTTATAAATTAAAGTCTTATAAAACTTTTAATACCTGGCCCTAAATATTATTACCTTTATATATGTACAATTTTTAGTTTTTAAAGTTTTGTTGTTGAGATTGATAAATTGCACCTCATAGGACCCCGTTTCGCTGCCCTCTCTCATTATTTCCAGAATGGGCATCCAATGCTCATCCAAACCAGTCGTCTCTTCCAGCCTGGCTGTAGCATCGCGTCAAGCTGCTTCTGCCAGGCTCAAGGCTTCCAGAGGCTCGGCTTGGGTGCCAAAAGCCGCCGACCCCGTCAACTGAGCAGCATCTCGGAGGAAAGTCCCCATCTTCTGATCAGACGCCACAGTCTCGAGTAGGGTCTCGGGCTTCACTAGGTCGGCGACGGTCAAGTTGTAGTCGGAGCCGATGCGAGACACCTTGTCCGCATCAATCTGGAAAAGATCAAATGCAGGTCTCTCACACTCCATCTTGGCCTCGTAGACGACAGGGAATCGTTGGAAGAACTTGTTGGTGGCTTCATGTGACAAGGGCAAGAGATATTGGGCTTGGAACAATGTTCGATATTCAGCTAATAATTCGCTTTGATATCAAAGGTCCTTGGTTTTTCTCAAGGCCTTAAGGGGCAGATGACCCTTATTTATATCAAGAGGCGGTCAAAGGGCTGTTCTAGGTGCCTGAGGCCTCCGTTAGGTCTCAAGCCCTTGTGTAACTATCGTCATGTTCAAGGTACGGCCCGTGCCTTTATGGCAACGTGACATCCGTGTAACACTTCAAGCAGTGCGTTGCCCGACGTGAATGTGGCCACAGTGAAGTTTGGATCGTAGAATACCACCCGGTTGAATTGCCCTTCCTTGTCACACCCAGCAACATGGAATGTACCTCTGTGTGCATTGCTATCATGGTGTTGTCGGTGCTATTCATGAGTATGCCGATGGCGTCCTCAAATTTCATGTGGCGAATTGGTTTTGACACCTCTGTCGCCAGGTAGCTAGTGTGAAGATCCTCCAAAGATCGTTTGAACATCGCCGCACTCTCCATGTCGGATTCTTTGCTGGGGCAGAGGGCACCCAGCTTGGCGCAAAGCTGGTCAATGGCGAATTCTGACGATGCCAGCGCCACAGACATGGCGTAGACCAAAGGATAACAACGGCCGCCGCCATGCTCGTCAGGAATGGCACGGAGAAGAATGCCTTGCGGCATGGGTTTTATAGAACCTCCCATGTCTTGGAAAATGCCAGCAACGTCGACGTTCGTTGCCCAGAAAGATTCATTGAACACTTTGTTTTTAGCCAGCTCGATGCGACTGAGCAACGCTCCTTGTTCGGTTTCCGTCAATGTAGTCGACGATCGATCGAACAACTGTACCAGTTCAGATAGTATCATTTCGGTCCCGTATCCCGGGATCTCGACTGATTCGAATGTCTTGTATCCCTTTGAAAACGCGTCATCGCGTGCCAAAAGCGCCCCGAACCGCTGTTCAGACTGTGACAAGGGCCGTGTAGCTGGGCTCGGAACTGTTACACGGAAAAGGCCCAACAGATTGTGACGCCCAACAAAGGGGCTTCACCGATACAGGACTTATTAGTTACACAGATAAAACACGTGCCTAGGCGTTCCTTTTATGTATATAAGGCAGTTACTCTTCCCTTCCTCTCTTATAGTAACTCAAGCCCTTAGAGACCCTTTGAGATTATTATTAAATTGAGCCCTTTTGCTCTAAGCCTTCTACGTTCAACCCTTGTCACATGAACGTAATGAGTTGAATTCAATCTTTACTAATCGACCCCGAGGTATCAAACGTCCCTAGTTTTCCGATAGGCCTTGAGGGACCAAAGGTCTGTATAATTAGGATGCGACCTCGGGCCTCGTGATGCTTTCTTTGATGTCGTCGATGTAATCGTTGTTGGCCCAACGCCTTTATGAAGGCCTAACCGTGTGACAACCACCAGACTTATAGTCGCTGATGGGGTTCACTGTGCTGTGCGGGGTTCAGAAAATTTAATATCGAAAACTTGAGAGTCAAGTACTCAATGGACTGCAAATATTCGTTTTCCACTTGCCCCCGTAGGCAAAGCGAATAGATAAATACAGGGCGCCAGTGTGATGCTCCAACTCGCATTTTCCCCAAACCATATAAGCTGAGAATTACCGCCAGTGGCTTCCGTCCCGAGAAACAAGAAGAACCGGGAGAAGTGTAGTGCTAATCCACAACTGCTTTCTTGTTTTCCTAGATATGGCCGGTTGTCAACTAGGCGACTTTTCACTCACGGCTACAAGAACAGCCAAAATTAAAGGCAGTAATAAAGCGGCCCTAGTCTCTCTTAACACCTAGTTTCCCAACACTCCTAAGGCCGTAAATGCATATCACCCCCGCCGTACACCCCATTCCAAAGTTATACCACCAGCCGGCTTTATAGCCTTGTAGAGACGCCTCCTTGGGATCGAATGCTCCACAGGAAGCTGTTATTTGCTGAGCAATAATTGCGGTTGTAGCGATGCCTACACTCTTGCCGACTTGTGCAAGCATGTTGAAGACACCGCCAGCCAGCGCTTGCATATCTGCAGGAAAAGCATCTGTCAAGACCAGATTAGCGATGGTGTAGATGAGATCTGCACCCAAGGGATTAAGGGCCATGGCCTGGAAGACACCGTGCCAGTACCCTGGGCCATTGATGCGGCACAAGGATGCTAGAATAACGGGAGCAATGCCGCTGACAAAACAGCCTACCGGCACAGCGACCGAAGCCCTCAGGTACGGAAGGAGGACAGCAATCGCTACATTCATTAAAGCGCCGCAGATGGGAGCCGGTAGAAAGTAAAGAGAGGATTTCATGGTTGAGAAGCCGCGGATATCCTCCAAGTAGAAAGCTGCAAGTTGCTCACTGGCGTTGAGGGCACCCCAAACGAGGAAGACGGTAGCACAAACAGTGGCAAAAGGCACACTCTTCCATAGCGAGTTGGGAATCAATGCCGGTCTGCCGCGATTCTCCTGATGGCGCATCCATAGACTAAACGCTGGCAAAAGCGCCAACGCTAAGCAAAGAAGCACTGCATTGATGGGCTGACGCATGAGTCTTGTTGCATCTGTGCCTGTTGCAATTGCAAGCACATATGAAAGAAGTGCCAGACTAGCACTAATGAGCAACGCTCCGATCCAATCAATGTCCCCCCTTAGATGAGACATGATTGTTCGGTTTAAACTTGGATCAACACCCGCAGGCAGCGCCCACAGAGCCAATGCCAATACCACGATGTTCAGAATCGCGGCGGTGTAGAATCCCCATCGCCAGCCGATGGTATCGCTGAATATGCCCCCTAGAACAAGACCCAAGCCAAAGCCGACGGCCTGACCGCCGCCCATGGCTGCAAAGGCAGCGCTGCGACTTTTGTGCATGGTAGTTGCGGGAAAGGAGCGCGATGCAATGGCGACAGCGCTGGGCAGACATAAAGATGCGGCCACCCCAGCCAGAGCGCGTAGCGCAATAAGTTCCGAAGCCGTGTTGCAAAGGCCGGCCCCTAAGCTGCTGCCGGACTGGAGTAATGCTCCGATGAGAAGGACACGTCGGCTACCCAACACGTCGGCCACAGTAGCACAGATGAGAAGCGTACATCCGCACGCCAAGGCAAAGGCGGACGCAGGCCAGAGTTGGAGCTCGGGGGGGATCAGCAGCTCATCGGAGATGACTGGTATGCACACCGTCAACAAGCCCGCCAAAAGGTTGCTGATTGCGGTTATACAGGTGATACAAGAGATGATGGCAACAGTTCGACCTCGGGATGCATGCAGGCCTGGCGGAGACACTGCATCATTCATCATCAAAGCGAATGATGGGTTCGGGGGCTGCCCTGACTCTGTGACCGTGTGTGTTGTTGTCGACATGTTTAATGACATGGGCCGAGTGTAGTATGGTAGTAGTGAGATGAAAAATGCCACGTTGTCAATACTGAAAAAGGAAAGCGAAGAGATATAAAGGAGATTCATGGTAGAGGGCGCTAAATGCGTGTTTACTATTGCGCAATCCTACCGGGGCTACTCCTACTATGGTTAGACTCCGTTGTGGCGGTGTTTGCAGAACTCGACTTTACTTCAGATATGTCAAGTACATATGTAACCAGTTAACCTCAATGCATGTCAACTAGTACATATCTAGTCTGGTAACATGGAAAGTGGGCATGTACTGAAAGAAGCACCTAATAACCAAAGGGCACATTGACTTGAAGAATAATTCAAAAGAGGGTTTATTTATCCATTCTAAAGAGTGACATCTCGGTTACATGTCCAATTGACATTCGTCCGTGAACAAACGTGTAGATAGCGAGTGTAACATTTCCATGATAGGGGACTATCCCCTTTGACCAAAGAGCTAAGCCCAGGGTCTGTTCCAAAAGGGAAGACAAGGAAGTAAAGTAGAGTTACTCCTTTTCGTTCTGATCCGTCGAGTCCACAATTAGTATCGTGCTACCAGCAAGCATCATTCATTTTAGACTATGCCAGCACTTACTGGAATACAAACTCCAACAAAAAAGTCGCAGGTGCAACCATCTTCGCAACCAGTCTAAAGTGTCGCTTTATTAGCATTCTATTCATTGCTGGGACAATATTCATATCAACAGCACCTACTATAATGGTGCAAGGGGCTCCACATTTAGCCTGCGCTGCCGCCGATGCGGCGAAGAAAGCCAAGACGGAAATGGTAAACTTCATATTGGCTACAAGGTGTCGGGTAATGGATAAGCGTGGGGATGATTGTGAGACAAGACTTGATATTGGTTTGTGCAAGAACGATAAGCCATGAGGGAGAAAATTCTTCGCTAGGGATGCCGTCTTCTTAAATACGTCGGCAACCAGGGCGCAACAGGCTTATCCAGAACTCTCCGGTATACATCAATGATTCTTTTCTTGTCGCCCGCTGTTTCCGCGCGCCCAGTACCCGAGTCATGTCTTCTTTCCTTTTCCTCACGCGTAAAACTATGCCTTCGAATCTGGGCCGGCAAGTCGAACAGTACCGTGTAGTCCCAACCTGTCTCTGTAGACATTGTCACATTTCATCTCGCCACAATACAGAGTCGCCATGCAGCCGCCGAATACGAAGACATAGTTGGTGGTAAGCAGACCCGATATCTGTTGTATTACGATCCTATCATGTTTCTCAAAGTGATAATACTACTCACACCCGTGATTATCTATCATGTTTTTACAAAGCTGAGTCGCTGTCTCAAAATTGTTTGTCTTGGCTGTGTTACATTTGCCCCATATACAGAGTAACTACAGGACGAACAGCAACCAGTGTCTAATGCACTAGTTACACAGCATGATCGTTTAGACAGGTCGGGTAAAACGGAAGCATATTTGGCTTCCTAGATAGGATAGCATTCATTTCATGACGGCACTTGTCTACGAACGAGCAGCACCATCTGAATCAAGTGCAAGAGGTAACGTGGCATATTCACACATTGAACTCAGGCGTCCCTCTTACTACAACAGTACGTTTCATATTAGCTAAGCATTATCTGGAATCCATCGCGGGATGCTTTTCAGGCGTTGCCTGGCTTGAAGCCATATCTCACTCATGAGGTGTCGTTCACATCATGGCTGCACGCCAAAGTCTGTACCCTGACTGCGGCAGCATTTTCTAAAAAGGCGACGTCATGTGTCTCAGCCTGACACTTTATTCCACGCTACAAAGCAGTCTGAGCCAATGCCGGCTACATTCCTAAGCTGCTACGTGACGGTTGTCGACGCACCGCCACGTGTCATTACCGCAAACCACGGAAGGCTCCATGGTAGCAAAGCAAGCCGTGACTCATTCCCATGCGTGGTTATAGGAAACCATGCACAATTGAAATGCAATATAATTTCTTACCATCCAATAAAATATATGCCGAGGCATGTAAGTCTCAGGTAGCCGTTCTAAAAGCCAGCTCACATGCATCTAAGCAAAACTAGTAATTTAGCCTAGCCGGCGAACTGCGCTGTCGATGGTCATGACTATAGTGTCAAAAGCTGTATAGTCTGATGTGCTTGCGTATCTTGTTATTATTGTAGCTGCCAAAGTTTTCAAGGTTGCTGCTAGCTAAGCAGTAGATACCATAATTGGTATTGCAAGGCTCATGCTTATCCGGTGTGGAAGGGCATTGAAGGATGTAGGCACGGATGAAGGCGGCATTAAAAATGGTATACTAGCGACCTCTGGCCATAGTAATCCAGATGCAAGACACGTCTGGTGCAGAAGTCTTGGAACACGGCAGTGAATTCCCGAGTCGAGGGGCGCTGGCTAAACCCCAATTACGGCTACATAAACTACACAACCACGAGTCAAGTGCCAAAATGAAATAGTGAGTTCGCCGAGACATGAAAAAAGTGGCTGCCTGAGTTTCTGCACAAAGGGTTCCGTATGGTGTAGATTGTCCAGATGGGCTGCCATCGGCTGGATTATCAGGGCTCATCATTGGTCGTGGACGAGTCAAACCCATTTACTAATACCTGTCAGCAACTAAGTGGATAAACCAAACGACCCTGGTGATTTCTATTCCTGCAATCCTCACGGGTGATGAACCATTGACGTCAGCCAACGAGGGCGGCGAATCGGGCAACGGAGTACGGCCCGGGCCATTGATGACCAATCGGCTCTTCTGCACCGTCCGTGTTTCAATGTTGGTCACTTTGGTATGTGTCGACACGAGTCACGACGCCATCACCACCTGTCGGAAATCCTTCATGCCTTCAACATGGTTGCCAAACTATCCCCGCGACCGAAAACGAGCCACACGAGCACAAGTATATACGCACAAGAGAGAGTCTTGTTAATCCCGCACTATCACTTACCGAATGTATCCCTTGCAGATGCGACAGCTGTGGCCGGCAAAAAGAAAAGTGCGACGGCGCGTTCCATCGGCAGCAATGCGGCAAATCTCACGGTACAAGAACGGATGGTGAGGCATAAACCCTGCAGGCTCCAGTGGATCAATCTCATCAAATTTGTCAAAAACTGTACAAGGCGACTATTTCCGCCGCATTCAACCACATCATGTTCTCTTCCGGTTCAGGATATAAAGATATTGACGAATATCCAGAAGGGTCGCTCTCCCATACCACGTGCGAGAACAGGCCGCGGTCGCTGCCGGTATTAGGTTGAGGCACACTCTTCAAAATCAAACCTTCGATTTGTATCATGGTGTTTCCGTCTTGGTTGAACAACGACACATCGCCTTTTACTCCGTCACTGTCGACTCCAGTCACAAAAGCGTTAATTTCGCATGAAAGGCCTTCGAAAGCAAAGCGAGGCGTACTGAGGGCTTGATGAACTTCCTTTGCAAGGGCGAACTCCTCAGCTGTTACTCAATGGTGAGGCAAAGGCACATATTACTGCCTAGAACGATGCCTCCGCTATAGCCGGTTGAAGTACGGATCTCGGGATCATCGGGTCGGCTGGCCAAGCCGCAGAAGCGTTAGCTTCGCCTAGAGACCGCCGGATCGAGGTTATACTTCGAAAAGGGCCAGAATCGCTTGTACCAGCCTGTGCAAATGAGTCGTACATGTTGGCAACATCTACCGGTGCGAGAAGGTTGTTTTGTTCCTCTCTTGGGGGTAGCTGATCACAACCAGGGCGGTTGGCTTGGCTGAGATAAAGCTTTAGACGTGCAGTGAATAATTTGGTGTTACACGGAAAAGGCCCGACGGATTGTGAAGCCTAATAAAGGGGCTTCACCGATAAATAACTTGACTTATTAGTTACACAGATTAAACACGTGCCCGGGCAAGAGTCCTGGGCCTAGGCGTTACCTTTATGTATATATAAAGGTTATTGTTCTACTCCTTCCTTGAGGTAACTTAGGACCTTTGATATCTTACGAGATTATTATTGAATTGAGCCTAATTGCTCTAAGCCCTCGTAACCAAGCCCTTGTCACAGTTGGCTACAACGGTTCCATCTATGTTATACCTATGACAGGAAGCTTCAGCATCGAGCATGGTGTTGAAACTTGTCTTGATGCTTTCCTCGTGGAATTTTATCGTCGTGATATATTCTTCTCTGTTGCAATGCTCTTCCATAGCTATGGGTTCCACGGCAACGAATTGTTCAGCTCGAATAATACAAAGTTTTGGTATACAGCCGCAGAGCTGGCAGCAGAACATAAAGAAGAAAAGTAAAACGCTGCTGAAAATGCCTGTTGAACCTTTTCCCAGCATTCTTGCGCCCAGGACATCTTCTTTAGACGTAGAATATTTCTTCAACAAAATTCGCTGGCAGACGGCTGACCCAATAGCGGGTGCAATTGTGTACCCTCGAGACGGCATCTTCGCGATACCCGAGACTCTCTCCAGTATCTCCTCCCATGATCCCATGAATAGGCCGGTAATCCCTTGATAAGCCGCAAGCGTTGGCTCACAGAAACTTAAAGAAACCTCGCAATTTCTAAACGGTTGGCCATACGTTCCCACAGGGAACCGAAAGCGGATAATACAGCCTTGAGGTTATTTCGCCCTCGGTAAAGTAACGGTGTATAAAGAAAACTTGGCCTCCCTTTTGGTTTTAACGTATCTAGCACAGGGGCACGAAGAGCAAGAGCCGGATAAGGTCTGACCTCAATATACGCACCAAGATTATGACCGTCATAAAGTGATCTCTCTGCTGCCTGGGAAAAGAGGACGGGCTTAACCATATTATCGACCCAGTAGATTGCAGAGAAGGCTTGGAGATGCCCATCTAGGATTGCATTTCTTCCCGTTACACTTGAAATCCAGGTACAGCCGCTTCTGGGTGTTTTCACCTGGATATTACATGCCCTTAAGGATTCTAGATACGCAGCAGAACAGGGAGCTATATAATATGAGTGCTGCTCTATAACTCTGGTATAGTCCTCGAATAAACAGACTTATTTTAGTGTTTTTGCCGGCTAATATGCTATATTACCAATTAGAATCTACCAATACCTTTCCGCTGGATCTTGATTAGGAACATGGGTTACTAGGAAGAGCCGCCAAGAATTTGCAAAACACTAAGTAAGTATAGATAGGGAGATGGCTTAGCAGAAGGGGTATTAGAACTATTTATTGCACAAAAAATGGGCGTGGCCACGCCACAAGTAATTGTCTGTTAGTACCCCCTATATCCTGCAACACTATTTACCGAACAGGTGGGCTCGGAAGGGCGCTTAGATATGGTCATATATATCGCAATGCGCGTTATCGTTGACCCGTTATCAGGGTTTCTTGTAATTACGTAATACATACTGCACTTGCGACACCTGCACCTTAAATTTTTCCTGTCAAGTCAAGTCCGTTGTGTTTTGTATTGCTACCTGCCGTAATGCTGCCAGACGCCTTGATTAGTACTTATTGCGAGTACAAAAAGGACACTGATTCCATCGCAACATGGCTTGCTTCAACGGCCAAATTGGCTGGCTTTCCCGACCATCTTCTTTCCTCGACGTGCAAGACTGCGGGCAACGCGAATGGGAACGGCGGTCGGCTCAAAGGCAAAGCTCGCGCCGAGGCCAAGAAGAAAGCCAAAGCACAATCAACAAATACCCCGCAGAAGCAGTCGCCAGCCTTCACATCCGGTCCAAAATATATTATCGCCATTAAAGACTTTATTATTCTGGCAGAGTTCCTGCTTGAGCACTCAGTTCCTATCCCGCACTCCTTCAGCGTGATACTTGACCGAGTTATTGCCTCACGCGAGGGCTTTGGTTCTAAAATCGAAGCACAGGGCGAGAATTTGGATCAAGATTCGGTTGCCAAGCATGGCTACTTTGTTCAGAGTATGCGTGGATATGCTCTTGCCCATTGGATATGCTCCTTGTCTCCGTACTGACCAGGCCAATGCAATGCACTGCAGCCCTGAAACAGGTTCGCCGCATTTTACCGCTCTTATGCCGAATACCGACGACGCGCCCGTTACCCCATCCATCGACAATCTGAGTAACAAGTTCCACGGTCTTGCAGTCTACGAACCATCTGAGGAGTTCTTAAACGCACCAGATATCGAGCGACCAACCAGAGCCAAAGATGATCCGAATACGTACGAAGCTGAGGCCCCATCATCTTTGGAGGATGCCTTCTTCGCCCCTGTAGCTATACTAAACGACATGGATCGGATGAGATCTCGCGTGGAATGGATCTGGTCTAATTACCGAGCTGGTCTTTTTGACGTAACCTCGGCCGCCATTGCAACGAATACGGCAATTGGGCTTGTCCGCGACATGATGGATGATGTTTTACCTATTTTCGATGCTCACGGCGGATACCACCGCATGCTGCAAAAGTTTTATGTCGTTCAATGCTTGAATAAGGGATTTGCAATCGAGGACCTTTTCATGGAGAACAAGGACAACTTCAACTATGACACATATGACGTTGCCGAACGTGTCTACCTGATGGCATATCGGTACTTGGAAGGTTTCGCCGCTGTTCTCGAGCCAAATCAAGTTCCAATCTACAAGGATGGAATATTTGGAACTTACGATCCGTCCAGCAACCGCTCTACAAAGACGGGCCTCGCGAAATTTGAAGATGACCGAGCATTGGTCATGCCTTATTTCTCCGAGCTTATAACCATTGTTATGGGTCTGCCTAACTGGCCGATTGAGGATGAATTCTTTCGTGGCATGGCGCAAATCCACAAAACCAAGCAAATTCCATTCTATTCCGTCTTTGCCACCCAGGTATTTCTGGACATCTCGTATACTCTAAAGGAACATGTCGACAGCGGCTACCACACCATGGTTACGCACATGAATTTTATTTCCAACGATATCAAGGAGCACTTTTCCTTCCATAGAGACCTCAAGATTGTCAACTGGCCAGAGTCGAATGACAGAGTCTTGCGAAAGGTCCAAACTAGCATTGAATGGCTGGCCAAGGACCCGTCATTGCAGGTTCAGAACAAACTCTGTCAGCGTATGGGCCGGGGTCCTCGCGTGGGTGCTGGCCATCTCCTGTTTCGCATGTCCCCTGTAATGAGCGGTCTCACGCTGTATTTCTTCCGTAGCCAGTATCACGAGATTGGCTTGTCGTTGGCGGATGCATGGGGATCTTTGCAGTATTGCGAGCATTTATACAACGCCACGCGGCAACATGACCCCTTGTTGAAGCGCTGGACAGACATGGATGTGGTTAGGACCCTGTTGGACATGGACAGCTTTTACGTGGGCAGCGAGGCCCCAAGGACGCCAGACGAACAATTTAAGAAGTTTTGTTTGCAAATAGGAGTGTCGGCTGCGGCCAGGGTGGCGATCAACT